AAAGACAGAATTATTAATTTCCTCATGGCTTTTTCTATAGCACTTTCCACTACACTGCCTCAGTGCTTCAGCACCTTCATTAATCCTCCCCAAACACTCATTCTGAAGATGGGTCAGAGTGACACACGGATGGATTAAGGTCAGTTTTGACTAATTCAGGGTACTCCATCTGAAAAGCATAACGTCTGCGTTTTCAGAGCATTTAACATGATACAGCACTTCATACGTGCAAGCACAGCACCCACTGCTTCCAGCTGCACAAAGATGGATGTCAGCAATTCAGGCTAAAGGCTTCCAGCCACGCACCACAGTGTGGGCAATACAGCCATCAGCAGCCAAAACTTTGGGTTAATGACTTGTAGTGTTACGTAGCCTGTGGCAAGGGCACGGAAAGAATCTGCTTTTTGGGAGAGTTTTATCCTTTTGTCACAGTCTGCCTGTGTCTTGCAGCCCTTGCATCGCACCTTGGGCAGTCTTTGGTTATGCAGGTAAGATGAGAACATGGCCAAAATTTGTTTCCTTTTTGACTAACAGAGCAGATCCGTGCTGTGCAGGGGTCACAGAGAAATCAGATTGTGACAGTGTAACTAAGAACTGCCTTAGAGTACGTGTGCACAAGAAAATCTCCAGAAATTGGTACGGAATGCCTCAGTTTGGACACTTCCCATGTCCTGACCAGGTAACAAGTGACCTTCACAGCATCCCTTAAGGCAGACTGTGCTGTAGATGAGGTGGGATCTGTAGGTGAAGTCCTGTCAGGGTCTTAAAGACAGGGGCTGTGCTCATGAATCCCATTGCTCTTGTAATCCCAGGAAATGCTTTTTAGTCAGTAGCTGATGTTTCCTGTTCCCTGGGGGGCTGCTGAGAGGGCTCTGAGCACCTGAAGCAGCAGGTGCCCCAAGAGCAGCGTTTTGAGAGATTTCAGCTGCCAGAACTGGGCATGTTTATTGCTGTGTGGTGAACTGCTCTTCAAAACCCAGTACATGACTAATTTGGGCGGATCTGTCTAAAAGACCATAAAAGGCTGCTTCATGCCCAATTTCAAGACCCTGTTTTTGGTGTTAGTCCTAAGAACCACAGCAAGCCCAAGACTGACCAAAGTGATGCTCTTCTCCTACTCTGCTGTCATCCTTGGAAGTACCACAGGACTTGGAATGTTTGGAAAACATTCAACACAAGCTGCCAAGGCAGAAAGTTACAGCCTAATTCATTCAAGTTTGGTAATTTATAAGAAGCCACAACAGGGATGTAAGTTGGGGAGCATCTGGCTATCGTAGCTCTGGTTCCTAATGGTTCATAACTGGTAATTCACAGTTTTAGGGCTGTCCAGCTTAATGAATCGAAGTAGATGATGGCAGATTGTCACTGAAAGAGAGTCTTTAACTTGAATTTTAATCTTCTGCAGCAATGGTTTAAGACAGGGCAAGCCAACTTCTGTAGGGCCCCTGGGAGTTGGGGTAGATGTATGCTGTACATCCAATTATTATTATTATTATTTTAATTTAAGAAGCCGTTTCTATCCCGAAAGCACTGCTGTCGTTGTTTTTAATCCTGTGGAAAACAGCTGGCAACAGGCAGCCCTGCACCACCCAGAGCCCAAAGCACTCGTTTGGGGAGCGCACAGCAGGGTCACCCCGCGCGGAGTTGCGCGGCAGCCGCGCCGCTCCGCACCTCTGCGCGGAAACTCTGCGAAGTTTTTTTGGGGGAACACACACATACACACACGCGCACGGGCCGGGGGGGTTCTTCTGTTGCGGTCGCATCCCCAGCCCCGCCGTTCCTCGCCCCTCCGGAGCGGCCGCGGTGCCGGCGCGGAGGCTCCGCGTCCCCCCCCGCCCCCCCGCCGTTCCCACGCCCCGCGGCCGCGGAACTTTGCTACGCGGGTGCGGGAGGGCGGGAGCAGCTCCGCACCGCGGCCCCCGCCCGCCCCGCGATGGGCAAGAGCCGTCTTTTTGACGCAGGAGAAATGGCAAATTTTAAGTACGTCATTAATATGGCGCCAAAACCCTTTTTTTTTTTTTAAGTATAAGCTTATTTCCTTTATTTATTTATTTTTTTAAAGGTTGGCGAAGCCGCCCCGTGTACGCGTGTGCACAGCGCGGAGAGGGGGAGCGGGCGGGGGGGGCGGAGAGCGTGAGTGTGTGTGCGAGTGTGAGTGCGTGTGCAGGGCCGGGCTGCGGGGCGCCGGGGCTGCGGGCGAGCGGCGCTGGGGCTCC